AGATGACAATACTTCTGATCAGAGGCACTTAGGTAACAGAAGTCTCCTGTACATGCATGTTTCCCTGCTCTGGTGTACTTAGGAGCGTATTTCAGGCAGGGCTGGTAGCTGGGGTGATGCACAGCACACGGTAGTGGTGGCATCTCGCTTGGGCAGATCCTCCTGGGGAGCTGAGGTAATGGAGATTTCATGTCAGCCTTGTCCCGGGTCCCCCGAGCCAGCACGGCCACTGCACTGCAGCGATGTGTGCTTGTTCTGGGATGGGTATTTGCTGTTGGCTGCATGTCTTTTACAAGGGCACAAACGTAACGTCAAAAGAAACCACTTTGGTAATGTACTCAAAAGGTAAATATTTCATGCAGTACTATAGTAATGTGATGTATTTCCTCCTTGAAATACTTTGTTTTTTGCCTGAGGTCTGGGATTCGGGGCAGTTTGTAGAGCTGGATTCTTACATCCTCGCCTCCCCAGCCTCTTGTGTTCCTTTTTCTCAAGATGCTGAATTTCTTTCTGTCCATACAAAATGCTAAAAGCAACTCAGTTCCCAGAAAAAAGTGAATTCTGATTATATGATGGTTATTGTTTTAAGCTCTTGGGATCAATAGCACTATATTAAAGCAACGTATTTGCTCCTTCTCGAGGTGTGATGTGAAAGGAGATTCATGATGATAAATGTTTGGCAGGGACCTCAGCTGGGAAACAGACGGCACAGGCCAGTGAGTCTTCACATAGATATATAGACATATATATCTGCTTTGCACTTATTGGTACCCCAGCTGTAAAAACTGGGTGATGAGTGACTGCCTTAGCAACTTCAGCATAGGCATTTGCAGGACAGTGTGCACTCTGGAAAGCTCAGGCTGTAAACCAAGGATACGAAAAGTATCCAACATCTTTAACTAATCAGCAAAGCCTTTGCCTTTGACCAAACCTGAAGCACTTACACAGCACCAACATCATGGTCTCACCAGCACAAGACATCTTCAGCAGTGTCTGGCACTGGATTTTATCCCACCCCGTACATTCACCTGGGGAAAGCTGTGTGGGATATGGCAGGACACCTCATCCCCACCTTGCTTGCGCCACAGAGGTTGATGATGGGATGTTAAACCCCTGATGCAAAGGGCTGGGTATTGTGTGCAGAGCAACAAGCGCTCAAACTGCATTTTTGCAGAGGACTATAAATGCTCTCACATTTCCTGGTGGTTACATTCCAATCAATATGGTTTTCACAGACCAGGATTAGTTATGTTACCTTTTGTACTCCAAGGTAACTCCAAGTACTTCATAAAGTAATGAGTTCAGCTATAGATAGCACAGGTTAATGGCATGGCCATTAGGTGCTCAGTGATAAAGCTTCCATGCAGCCTCAGATATTATAAATCTGGTTTATTAAGAATGGAAATATTGACAGAGACCCGATTCTGCCTTATTCCTTCTGCAGCCTCCCAGGGATGTTTGACAATCCACTTCTGGCAGCTTCCAGCACAGATAGAGAGATTTTAATCTCTCAGAGGAAAACTTCTTCTGGGGCAAGCGTTAACCCATTGATTTATGTTTGCAAACATTTGCAAGTGTTTGGAGGCTAAACCAGAGCCAGGATAAGCATAAACCAGAGGGGCTGCGCTAATTCTTCAAACCAAGAGAGGTTTGAAGTACTTTGAACTGATGATGGCCAGACTGGCCAGCCCAGCTCTTCATCCTTGCCCTCTGATCTCTCAGCCTGAGCATCGTGCCCTGCTGCCCAGCTCAGTTTAACAGCTGCTTGGTGTTAGGTGATGATTATTTGATATCTTTATTACCGGATTTAAAGGTAGATCCTGCTTCTCCCTGTTAGCTAGAGAGGGGCAGGTTCCCTTTCGCTGCAGGTGGAAACGACCCCTCCTAAAGCAACTGGGTCACTAATTAATGCAAACCCATGGTGTTACTTGAAGCAAAGTTTTCCCTTCTAACCCTGTCAACTGAGCACAGCTCACCAAAGCCCCCAGGCATTTCAGAAAAGCTTTGGGGTCATTTGGGTTAGGCCGGATTAAAAAGGTGGATGAAAGATGTTGACCGAGGCATCCTTTTTCCCGCTCCTCTTATCTCCATCAAGAGGGGGCTGAGTGGGCAATGGCAGGGAAGGCAAACCTACCACCAAGCCATGGCCTTGCAGAAAGAACCCAGGAGTATCCAGGAGGTTGCATTGCACTTACTTTTCAGCCCTTGTTATGGCACAGGGCCCTTGTCGCCGGGTTGGAGGTGTGCTAGATTGCAGCCCAGCCCTCGTGTGCCCACTGCAGGGACACCCTGCCACTCCCCACAGCCACCCCTGCTGCTATCTCCCCACTTGCAGAAGAGCACTGCAGCAAAAAAAAGAGCCTAAAAAAGAATATTCTCATTAAAGGAAGAAGGTGGGGAAGGGGGGGGGGGGCAGGGGACGAGCAGGGAGATGGATTGTGCTGTGGTGCTGAGACAAGAGTGGAGAAGCTGTACCTTAATCATTGAGAGGGGAGGGGGGAAAATCCCACAGCTCTCAGGAGAAAGCATTTGCTGGTGTGAAACGATGCTGCAAAGGCCCTGGTGTGCCTGTGGCTCAGTCCCTGCTCAGGAACTGGTCTGGTCCCAGCTCTCAGGCTCCATTGTTCAGGATGGGAACATCTGACCACCCTCCCCTTGACATGCAGTGCCATCCCTGCTCTGCAGTGACCTGCACATCTTTAATGTCTCATTAATTCTGTCCCCCCGTGCCCAGGATCTGCCCAGGTGGGAAAGGAGAATATCTTAAATAACACCTCAAACATCTCTGCTTTCATCTGAACAGACTGCAGCACCCAAGTGAGTGCTGGTCCCTTTGGGTGTCTTTGGGTACCCTTGTCCTAGGTGCCTTTCTGTTTACACTGGGATTATGAGGGATGCTGCTGCTCTGGCTCATGAGTGTTTATGGCATGGTGCTGCTGTGGCTGGAAGGAGAAGTGCTGGGAGTATTTTCAAGGTAACTGGTCAAAGAACTCATCTGGACACGCAGTTCCCACAGTTGTCTATGTGTTCCAGTGTCCCCTGTCTGTCCCACACACATCTTGGTCCTTTGAAGCACTTTTGACCCTGCTTGGAAGAGGGAGAGTGATTGCTGCACAGTACAGCCATCCATGAGGTCTTCTTCACAATTAATATTTTTACTATTACTAATAGTACTATTAATACCATTAATGCTATTACTGTTACAACAACAAAAGAAGCCACAGCTCAGTCTCAAGGCTCCTGTTAGCACCAGTACACACCAGCACTGGGCAGAAAGGAAGCTGGGCATGTTCTCAGCTGAAGCACTCTCCTGCTCACACACAGGACCTCTGGGCACCAGTAGTTACAGCTGTGCAAATTGTTCTTTATAGATGGAATGAAATTTGCAAACGAGACAGCTTCATCAGGGGTTAATAAAAACCCAATGCTTCCTCTGTTTTGACAATAGTATAGTATTGCATAGAAAGTTTTGTTTGGTCTTTTTTGTGTTACCTAAAACTGCTTAACTCTGGTTTTGTAAAAAAACTCTGCTGTCTTTAAAAAGATGTATATATGTGTGGGAAATGGTGTCGGTAATGCAAAGGCTTTAGTCTGGACAACAAAGAAAAGTTCAGTTATTTAGTTAATGAAGGAAAAAAACGTAATCCCCGTGTGCATTGGTTTGGTCTGAGCCAAATTCTACCGCAAATTATGGCATCTGCCTTTGACTTGAGAGAAGAAAACCTAGCCAACCCAAGCGGCTATAATAATAACTGTGATAGTAATTGTTATTATTTTTAATTTTGGTACAGAAGTCCATGGATTGAGGGGAGGGTGGCTGTTTCCATCAGCTTAGTAAAAGTATCCACAACGGTCAAAGTTAAGCATGCAGCTAAATCATTTGAGGAACAAGAATTTCTACAGGCAGGTAAGAGCCTAATAATGTGATGATGAGGGCCCAGACTTCCACAGGTAGATAGCAGAAACTAATATTTGTGATGCAAGAGTCTTGCATTATTCAGTAGTTAAAGATGATTCTAAGAAAGGGAACAGCTTGAGAATTAGCAAAACTAGCAATAAAATATTCTTAGCTGACTCCGGGGGGAAGGAAATTGCCGTGTACAGGATTTGCATTCATCTTAATGTTTATTAAAAATGAGACAGCATTGCTTTTCCTCGCGCTCGGCTGGAATAGCTCCATGCCCTTCTGGAACTGTGTGTCCTCCCTGGCCCCTGCTCAGCTCCAGGACCTGCTGAAATCTCTCACTACTCATGTGGGTTGCTGTTGGGGTGAGGGTGATGGGAACCCAACCAGCCGCTCAGGCCATGCAGGACGATGTGAGTGCTGCTGCCAGTGCTAATTGCATGGCTTTGCTCCTGCATGTGGACAGAAGATGGACAAATACAACTGGGAGCAGCCAGCTCGGGCTTCCTCCTCTGGGCATCAGCTGGCCCAGAGTGCTGGGTCATTCCCTAAACGTTTTTGAACCATTCCTGGCAGTAAAAGGGCTGGCTGCTCTTGGGAGTGCTGCAGCTCACATGCAGAGCTGCAGGGCAACGGGCAGGGGAAGGGGCTGAATGTCCTGGTGCAGCAGCCACGAGGACTACCAATGTGCTAGTAAAGACCCTAGAATGTGCCTGAATTGCGCTAACACACTAAGATCTTGTGTTGCAGGAGCAAAATCACCACCCAACTGATGTGCACCAGCAGTTCAGTGCAGCACAAACATGTCTGCATGGGGGTGTGGGAGGAATTGCTGCTTGAAACGACAAGGGCTGGGGGCAAGACATATTTCTTGCTGTAAGGAATTAAAGACACACGCAGAAGCACCTGAGACCTCTCAAACTCCCACTGGTGTCTGCACATGTAAGACCCACACCTGCCACCAGGCTACCGTTTACCAGTCACTGCAAGGGTATGTAAGCGTGCCATTAGCGATGAATGAGCTGGGATGGGCATGTGGGGAAGGAAAAGGAAATAAGAAACATGAAAATAATAAACAAACTAAAAAAGCAAGTGAGACTATTCAAAAGGGGGACTTTATTTTTATTACACTGAAGCCAGACGTCAGTGCACCAGTTCAGCTTTGATACACAATAAATCAGCAAACCCGTCACTCAGTTTGGAAACCAAGATTGCAGTGGCACTAAAAACACACTGAAAACATTGACTTTCTTCCTTTTTTTTTTTTCTTTTTTTCCTCTTTTGTTTTTGGTACAAAAATGGTACAAACGACAATACAAAAGATTTGTGCTGTTGACGGTTACAAAAAAAGGTTTTTGAACTGGGTTAACGGATGCAGACTGCTTTTGCGCTTCAGCGTGAATACAGCGGAACAGCAGAAGTCTTCCTTGAGAACAACCACAGTCATGCGGGCTGCTACACAGCTTCTCCATCGGAAAAGGAAACATGCAAAATCAGAATTGAAGGAAGAGAAAGTGCTCCAGTTACACATCTATATGTTCTTGTTGCTTTTTGCCTCTATTTGATTTGTAGCTTCAAGCACTAACTACATTATGTACACAGGGTGTGAGCAATTGCTCACGGGGTCGGTGTGTACTGGAAAGAACTTTTATTTTCCCCATGGAACCAAGTTAACTTTGTGTGGGAGACACCTACGTTGTCTAGCTGCTGTTTTAAACATACGCATTCCGTGTTATACAGCATTCCCCCCCTCCCCCTTTTTTTTCCACACTTACAATGAAGAGCTCCAAGACATCACAATAAAAGTCCCATATTTTACCTTTGTTTTTTTCTGAGACTAAACGAAGTTGCAATCTTGGCATATTGCGTTGTACAGACCCTGCACTGACCAGTGCTGTTCTCCAATTCCTGACCATCTACCCTATGCAAAGCAGTTGCAGATGATACAGCCATTTCCTAGAGTCCCAATTATTCCTGGAGGCTGGATTTGGACACAACTACCCCTAAAACCAATATGAGAGAGGCTCAAAGTGGCTCAGCTGCAGGTGAGTGAACTCCCAACCAGCACCTTACATCCACCAATAGCATTGCCTGGTCCAACACGAAAGGAAATAAATATAAAATATGGAAAAATGCAAACCCAGAAGCCAAACTATGACTAGCACATAGGACACCTACAACAGATTTGCCTGTTTCACTGTGATTCACTGTCATTAATTACCTGCTGAGTATCCTCTTTGCCTTGCAAAGCATTTCCATCACTGATGCTTTTCCCTGTTTACAGGCTACATAACAAATAGGCTGCACCAAGGTGTGGGCCAATCTCTGCCAGCACTGGACCTGAGTGGTCCTTGGCTTGCTGATGTGCAGTTTTCACGCCTAGGAGGTGTCCAGTGTGCCTCAACGCCCTGGCAGTTCACTGTCCCCATCCCTTAGCATAGAGAGCTCTTGTGGTGTCCCCTGGCACTGCTATGGGCTATGGCGGTGACAGTGGCATTTTGGGAATGGGCTCCCTTCCACCTGCCTGAAATCAAGTCCTTCCCCACCACTGCATGGTGTGCAGAGTGGGGACTTGCATGTGAGGGCACAGCTTCTTTAATTTTTAATGCTTTAGTTTAGATTAGTTGGAGAGCAAGCATTCTGGTCTCAATGCATTAACCACTTCCGTGGCCTGAATTGTACCTTCAGAGCTGCCGTTTCCCCAGCCTGGCTCCTTGTAAGCCACTGTCACCTCCAGCGGTGAATGGCAATGGCAAATGAGGATCAGAGTGGGGGGACAGCACTGACACAGTCACCTTTTCAATAGGGTCCCTTGGATTAATGTAAATTTTCTTAGCTGGATTATAATAATAATAATAATTAGTATTAACAAGCAAAAATATTTGCAAGCAGTGATCTATTGTCATTGCTTGATGTGCTCCTCGCTTACCTTCTGCTGTTCCCACTGTGAAGAAAGGGGTCTGATGCTGCTGTTTACTTGTGGGGTTGTAAAGCTAAGTGATGGAGGGAGGAGGAGGAGGACAAGGGAGAGGAAGAGGAGGAGGAGGTCCTGCAGAGGGAGACTGAGCAGAACTGGCTCAAAAGACAATAAACTAGTTGGTTTGATTTATGGGCTTGTGGAGTTAGAATGGCTGTATTGCAAATGCTGCAGAAAAAATATCTGCTGATTTAAAAAAAATTGAAATGGGTTGATTTATTTTTAGTCACTCAATCCGTTTTGTTTGACTTAAGTTGTATAAATATTCTTAAAAGCCCAAAATGTTTACACAAGCTGATGTCTGATGTCTCCTTCATGGCCAAGTGGTTCCTGTCACTGCATGGCACATCCCCGTGGGTGACAGCGGGGCGATGCTGACCGGCCCCTCCAGCCTCCAGCCCCACAGCAGCCATCCCATACTGCTGCCGTTCCCTTCCCTACCTGAAATCCATCACCTCAGCCAAAGCTGCAGCAGAGAGCAGGCACCAAATGCTCTGGAGCAGGGACTTTGCTACTGCTCTTGGGTAAATGGTATCAGGTAGATAGCACAGCTTGGCTTGCAGCAGAGACCCAGCTGGCATCATGGGAGCCACATGAGCATCCTAGGAGCCACGTGGAGCTGGCAGGCAGCAGCAGCAACCCAATGGATGGAGAACCATCAGCATCACCCCAGCCCTCGATCCGGGTCCTTCTCTTGAGCTGGAGATGAGGTTATGGTGATGGACACAAAACACTGGCGGGTAGTCATCAGCAAGAAACACTAAGTGCGTTTTTATTATTCACTACGTCTGCTGTGACCGGGCAGCTTCTGTGGGGGTGCAAAGCCCAGATGGTGAAATACTCCAGCCTGTGGCTTTTCGGAAAGAAAGGGGAAGAATCAAGCCTGCCCGTAGGTAGACAGCAGTGGCTCAAGGCAATGCAGCCCACCCACGCCAGCCGGCTGAGGACAAGGGCTGTGAAGTTTGCTGAGGGTGGCCAGGAGGAGGTGGACAGAACGTGGCAGAAGCAAACTAAGACTTTCATAATGGTCACACAAGCAACTGAGTTCTCAACTATGGAACAGGAATTTGGGAAAGCATCAGGTGCCGGCAGTTTACCAGGCACTGCACTTCATCCTGGCTGAGGCACGTGCTGTGTGGCACAATATCCTTGCCTTGCTGCTGCCATCAGCGCCATCCCTCTCCTGAGGCCCAAGCCATCACCTCCTGCTTCCTCAAGAACTTGGATGAGAGAGTTCTGAAAGGACAAACTGTCCCATTGACTGACTGACCAGGACAAAAAGAAGGATCGCATCCTTGGTAGTTATTTACATACCGGTAACGTTGGAGTCGCCTCGGGCAGACTTTTACCACATTCCACTTCATACAAGACACATTTCAAATGCTCATTAATTTACAGAAATTGCATTTTATAGAAAATATGATACAATGAAATATAAAATGCACCAGGAGCATTTCAAAAATCTATAGAGACGATCTTGCAGCCTAGTATACCCTCTGAAACGACGTCCACTCATCACGGCAAGCTCTCGTCCTCTCATTCTCACTTCCCTCCCACCCCCCTTTAAACTCTTAGCATTCAACTTGAGAATTAATAGAGATATCAAAAAAAGCATGATTATCCCCTGGATAATCACCTTCCAATATTGTGCACATTCTTGGATTTAAATGAAAATATATCTAAGCACTTTTACAAGTTTTAGCGAACCCACTGCAAAATCGTCTGCAGAATATAAAACACAGGTAATCCAAGATTTCATAGCACATTAATTAAGTGGCTCATAATCCATTAAATGTGGTTTATATTACACATCCATGCAGTCTAAATCATTTTACAAACATTAGACATAAACCCACTAGTCCAAATCAGTAAAGGAAAAATGTAATAAAAAAGCTAATAACTATTCGTTATTGGTTAAACTGACCCTACATATAAACTAGGTAGTATGCTACCATTTATAATACTGATGTTGAATTATGCCTGGATGCTGCAAAACCTCTTGCTTACTTGGCAATGCTTGAGCATATTAACCACAAGGTACTTAATAGGCCCTCGTTGCACTTCTCCTCCAAAAAAACACATTTACTACAGATAGCAGCGCCTACCCATCGAATAGAAAGGACACACATTAGCTGAGTTACACGAGATTCTTGAGCTTTGGCTACTAATGCTCCAAGGCATTAATCTTATACTAGACTAACTTCATACTTACGGATGGCAAAAGTGCTGATAAACTGCTCCTGCCCTTTGCGCTGCCTCAGCCTCGAGCAGAGCCACTGCACAAACCCCTGCTTCCACCAGGAAAACAGCGTTGGCTTTCCTGCTAGCAGGAATCCCTGGGGTTGCAGGACACCACCACCTAACCCAGCTGGTATTTACATCACTCCAGAGGTCATGGGAGCCAACACACACCGATAGCATAAAAACAAACAACTGGGCCTTTGGTCATGTCATGATTTACTTTGTAGGGTTTAGGCAAGGGCTGTCGGAAATTTCTGTTGCAATAACCAAAGGCTTTATCAACGCTATAGTTCTATGCAGCTACATTGAGTGTGACCAGGTGACGACAGAGCCCCCAGTCGGTATTTTGCATCTGATAACACTGAATTATATACAACATGATGACTAGTTCACCACCTGCTGAGGCTTAAAGATGGCTGTTCAGGTTTTGACTCAAAACATCTTCCCCCTCCCCGAACCCCCCATCCGTTTCCACCCAGAACGAGTCACCCCCTCCAAAAAAGAGGCAAAAAAAGAAAAAAAAAAGAAAAAAAAAAGGAACAAAAACAAAAACAAAAAACAATCTCCAGAGTTCCTTTTTGTTAAATCCTTCCCAGCTAGAACTGGCTTAAGGTCACAGGGAGTGCTGCCCAGGATGGTTGTATGTTTGTTTTCGTCACTCCTGAGATTGAAGGGAATCTGATACATGCACCAAAAGGCACTTTCAAATATATATATATATATATATATTTTAAAAACAGTGCTTCTGTTCTAAGAAATTCAAGTTAAGACAGAGTGCCTTTCACTCTCTTTAGTCATAAAGCAGGTAAACGAGCAATATCCCAGCTGACATTAAAAAACCAAACCAAAAGAACAAAAAAAACCTGCAGCAGAGACAAGTGTTCATGCGAGACAGCTCAATATTCTAAAAAATAACATTGGAAAGGAAAAAAAAAAAAAGGGGAAAAAAAGAAAAGAAACCTCCTATGTCACCACTAAAAATAACAACACAGTCAGCAGGGGATATTAATTAAAAAAGCTGCCACATCTGTACAGTTCTTGCTTCTGCATCGGCTCTTTTTGTTAACGTTGTCGTCTGTGGGTTTGTTTTTTCTATGTTTTTTTCTGTTTTTTTTCTTAATATTCTTTTCTGTCTTCTTCTTATATTTGTTTTTAAATAACGTGAGGTCAGTTTAATCTTCCTCGCCTCCCCCGTACATGTCCGCCAGTTTCTTGAACCTGGGCCCCCAGTCGTTAAGGTAGTCGTAGTCCTGGTCCCCGGAGCTAGAGGAGTTCAGGGAGCTGACGGAGCCGGCAGTGGAGCCACTGCCCTCGTAGTCAAACACCAGCAGGGAATCATAAGGAGGTGCTGTGGGGTCATTGTCAGCCGCACGCAGACCCTGGGGGAGCAAACACAGGCTGTCAATACCCACCATAGGTGTTAGGGTGATGGTGCTAAGAAGTGCCCAAAGAAGTGGTAAATGCTCCATCCCTGGCAGTGTCCAAGGCCAGGCTGGACAGAGCCTTGGGTGAGATGGTTTAGTGGGAGGTGCCCCTGCCCATGGCAGGGGGTTGAAACTGGATGATCTTAAGGTCCTTTCCAACCCAAATCATTCTATGATTCTAAGGAAGGGTGTTTGGGTAAGGATCTGGGCTGGTGGGATGTTTGGGATCCCTATAGCAAAGCTAAAAGACGATGGGGAAAAGAGAAATGACAATGGTACAAAAATGAGGGTTCTGCAGGTTCCCTATGTTTGGGTGCCCCCCCTGGTTGAGCCCTCCTGGATGCCCCCAGCAGAAACCCACTAACTCCCAGTACCACTGTAAAAGACCTGGATGGAGCAGGAGGGGAGTTACTTCCAAGCATCCAAGTTTGGAACTGGAAAGCTTTCAGTCCTGGACAGCATGTAGTTTCTGGGGTTGCCTGTTAAGATTTCCAGCTTGGCCAGTGAAAGAATGACCAGCACCCGACCAATAACCATTATTTTAATTTTGATGATTTGGATTCCTTTAGAAAAAAACTCCAAACATCAATCCTAGCAAAACTCTGCAATTAAGAGATACTTGGGGTATGGAATTCTGGGCAGAGGGTTGGGAAGCATTGCTGGTCCTGTGTGTTGTGGGCAGCAGTGTAGGCAGGACATGGAAATGGCCTTGGGATATGAAGGAAAAGAATTGCTTTGCTGCAGCCCAGCATCAGGAAAAGCCTGGTGGAATAGACCTGCAATAAAGCAAAACGTTCTGCATTCATACCTTCCAAAACCCAGTCTCAGCATGGGGAGATGGAGCAGGTTTTACTGCAGCAAACAGCAGCTGGAACATGTGTAAGAGCCAGCCTTTACGCACATAGATGTATGTAAATATGTGTGTGAAGGATGGGCAGGAGCAAAGGAAGAAGAAATTTTAATGATAAAAATAAGAAAAAAAGCACAGCAGGAAGTGGATATAATAACAGAATTAAATCGCTATAACACTTGTTTTTCTAACTTAGGAAATGAATGGTGTGCTTTGTCTCGGAGGAAATAATGCATTGATTGGTTTGTAACTACTCAATCACCCAAAACTAAAAACAAGATAAGAAACACTAAACGGATAGATATTTGTACAAGCAGATAAAGGAGCAGTAATCTAACATAAAATAAAGAAACCCTCTCTCATCTGGGATGAATCTCTCTGTTCTGTAAACTCTTTGAGGCTTTAGACCAAATAGAACTTACTAGGAAGGCACAGACTGGTGAAATAATTACAAGTCCAGGAGTCCCAAATGGGTCCTTTGTCTCCGGGGAACCCATGCAGCTGCCTTGCCACCACTTCCCTATGATGATGACACTCCTTTGTCCACATCCAGATAAAGCTTTTACTTCAGCAGCTGCAATACTCCCAGTAATCCAAAGGAGACTGGGATCAGGTTCTACTGCCCGGATGCTGAAAAGCATGGCGTTTGTGAGATCCACAGATGAGGAATCTTTGGCTTTTTGCCTTGCACTTTGGCTTTTTACAGGCTCAACGCCTTTATTAGGCCAAGTCCTGTGTTCTTTGCTCATACCGCTTATTCCCCTAGTTTGCACCTGACTTCTCATGTGAGTAATAGCATCACTTGGTCTATCCAGCCAGGAGAATGTTGCATAGCTGATCTTAGCTGGCTGCTCAAGCTTTTAATATGTGACACAAGACACCCTACAGAACATACCTCATTAATAAAGTCACCAATATCCCCTGGATGTGGGATTACTGGTCTTATAGGATACTGCGGTTCAGCACCAATAGGTCTTTCATCCACCCTTCTGACTCCAGGTGTCTTGTTCAGAACATGATCCATGGTCTCTGGCTGCTGGAGCTGGCTTAAATCATAATCCTGTGAAAAATGGAAAGGCACAGAGTGAAACGAAGAGCTTTTCGTTCCGATCATCTGCTCACCCAATGTACAAACAATGTGAGAGGTCTAATCCTATTTCAGCTGAAGTTCAATGGCAAATCTGATCAGCAAGTATGCAGCCCCTCCATCTAAATTACAGATGAACTTGACCTCTGAGTAGCTCATAAAATTGACCTCCTAAGAGTGTATCTTAAAACATGAGTAAAATCAAATATTTAAATACTTCGTGACTATTTCACGTGTCGTCTAAATCTTCGGGATAAAAAATTGTCTTTTGTTTGCATGTGCACAGGGATACATCTAGCTTTTGATGAAATATATAATGTACAGACATTGCTGGTAGACATATTATTGCAATTACATTTCTACAGAGGTAAAAACATTAAAATGCACATTGCATTTATGCATGTAGGCCTTTCAAAGTAATTATGTTCTTTCTGCTCATGAAAAATCCCAACAGAATAGGTTTCTACCAAGGAAGGAGAACCAGGTAATATTTCATTAAAAATGTATTCATGCAGGTAATGGTGTTTTGCTGCTTTTCCTTTGCTGTTATTTTTAACGAATCCTTTCTAAAATATTTAAGCCTACAATGTAGTTGCCTGAAACCAGATACTTCAGCTGGTTTGAATGCTTATAGCAGCACTTTGTTCTACCGGTGAAACTATTCTTGTGCTCAGATGGGGATGATTGAATCTCCAGGAGCAATATTTATAAATAACTTGTCAGTGACAAGAAAAAAGAAATGCCAATTGCAAGGATTTTTCTGTGCAATTGGAACTTCTCAAGTTTTGGACAAAGTCCCTGCGTTGGCTCCCCGAGGTGGCTCTCGCCAGGCTCATCTGCTTGCCTGTGGATGCCACCGGGACCACCCTCAACCATGACCTTAGGGCTGAAGCAAGCAAGAATACAGCCATTACATGATTCAAGCCACATAATTTGTGTGAACATTATATTTGAGAGTGTCACAGGCTCTTTGCTTAGGCAGGAATAAAAACCCCGGTGTCTTGAACATGAGCAACCAAACTTTGCTGTTTTAGTTGAAATACATCCCTAGCAGAGGGAAAGCACATCCCAGGAGTACAGGCAAGGGAAGTTTTCATGCAACATCAGCATTGGTGTCTGTAAGAAGAAGCCACCACAGAAAAGCTGATGCATTCAGGCAGACTGTGGCTTAGGGCTCCATCACCAAGCAAAGCTTTGCCACCGTATGCTTCACAGTGGAAAAGAAAATTCCCAAATGTATTCAGACACTTCTCACAAACTACATTCAGAAATTAAAAGAAATTAAAGAAGCATTAGAGACGATTAAGTAAATGCAGGGAAATCCCACAGAAGCTCTAGGTTCAAGCAAGCCAAGGCAAGTGCCTGCAGCCACGGTTCTGGGGAGAGTGGTAGCTGCTGGCTGGGTTTTATAAGATCTCTAATGGGGAATGGTAAAATACACAAATTTAATGACTGAAATAATGTAAATACTGTTTGAATATGAGTGGAGTGGATTGATTTTTTTTTCCCTCCCCAGGAAGTTGACTAGGGCATAGACAAATCCACTTGGCATCGGACTCCTGGCACAGTCCTGCTCCAATGCCAGTGTCCCAGTGACACGCTGAATCCCCTGGACCTCCACTGGCTCTCACTGACGTCCATGCCACACTAGGGAAGCCAAGAAAGCTGCTTGGGAATAAACAAGGGGAACACAACCCTTTGCAAGTAATTTAGTGAAAATTTCTGCCTTTTTGAGAGTACAGATTGCACAGCTGCTCCTTGGCCACAACCCACAGGCTCTTCTCACCTGGTCTTCCTCTCCACCTCCTTCTTCATCGTACTTCAGGATATTGTCCCTGACATCGTCCTCGGGGTCAATCAGGAGCTGCTTGGTGTGGCGCTCCTTCTCCCGGCGCTTCATCCACACCACGAACAGCAGAACCATGGCTGTAATAGGGAAGAAGCTGGGTGAGCTGCAGCCTCACATGGCACAAGCCCAGGCTGCATGGGCCAGAGTGTGGTGGCATGGCCCAGAGCCTCACCTGCCCTCTTCCACTATGGAGAACCTCACTGGCTGCTAGTAAGAGGAATGAAATTTTCTCTTATTGCATAGTCTGCTTCATAAGGGAGAGCTCAGTGAATGCTGTGACAGGCCTCCACCACAAACATTTCCTTAATGTCTTTTTCCTTTTCCAGTGCTGATGCGGCTGACTTTTATCAGATGTAAACCACACCATCAAACGGAAAGCAAACAGGAAGTGTGAAACCTGCAGCTTTCTGAAAAGATTTGATCTAAATCCTGAATTTTCAGGATAAGATTTCCACCTTTATTTCATTCATGGGCACACAAAAAAAAGGTGGGGGAAGACAGCTGCAGAGGTGCTGAGAAGCAAACGGGTACAGGTGGCCCACATCTTGTGCACAAGCAGCTCTTCCCTCAGTGTGATACAGCAATGCCCATTCAGGTCACAAGCCCTGGTCATGGGAGTCATTTTGTTGTCTGCAGTTGGCCAGGAAAGACTGGTTTGTGGAGGCTGTGTAACACTGGGTCCTGTAATTGGATTTGGACTCCTTCATACTTTTCTTTGCTACAGGAGGAAGGCTTTTTAGACTTCCAAGACCACATTAGCCAGGACATTAGCATACACATTTGGCCACTGACTTGCAAAGCAACTCTAAGATCATTTGAAATCCTTTCAGAGAGCAGGGCTAGCTTTGCAGAACAAGGGAGAGCAGATCTGGTAGCACACAGCCGACCTCCTCAGGCATCAGCATTTGCATGCCAGGACCTGGCAAATCTCTTTCAGCACAATAACAGTGAGAGAGGAACAGTTCTTCAGTCATGAGAAGATTTTCCCAACTTAAGCAACTTTACCCAAAGGGAATGCTGACTCCCTGCTCCACAACCTCATCCTTCACAAGTCCACTCACATCTCAGAGGTTGTGTGCTCCCTGTGATTTACCTGTGCTCTGGGAACCTAAGCCTCCACTAACATAAGGAAACCAGACCTTGTCTTCTTCAAGAACCTGTTAATACGCTCGTTTTCATTCTCATACTCAGTAGCTGCAAATAATGCCATCAAAATAGAAATTAAGCCTGAGCAGCTGATGCAGTCACACCTCCTAGTGTCTGCTTCCCCCTCCATTCTCCATGCAAGCCACACCAAGCTGTGACAGAGGCAATCTGCTGGAGAATGGAGACATGGATGGACAGTGGAGGTGAGAACGCGTGGCCCAGGTTTGTTTCATCTGGGTCAGCTCTTGACCATGCCAAACTAACGCATCCAACACAAATGAATCCAGGCAGGACGTAAGATCCCAACCCTTCTTTGTATTTTTCAGCTGCACAAGCAACCACATTTTCTTTCTCTTTACCTGTCTGCTGAGCCCGGGTGTTGCTTCATGGAGGGTAAGGATAGAGAAGAGACCAGACCCTGGGGAAATGGGCGAGCAGCTCAGCCTGCAGCCCCACTTTGTGAGGAGGTGTTGAGGAGGATCTGAGTTCTCCCTCCCAGCACCAAAGTGTTTATACCCAACAGGAATTCAGTGAAGTGAATGGAAGAGGACTGGACAGCTAATTACTGCCATTGTGTGCCAACTGGCTGCCATCCCGGCCTGCCAGCTAACAGAATTGTTTTCAGATACTTCAGCATCTCTTTAATGCTTATCCTGGATCTATTCAAGGCAGAAAAAAGAAAAGGGAAGAAAATGTAACTCTTATCTGCAATATAAAACCTCAGCTATTTAGCCGACTATTGAAGTCCTTTTCTCCTTGATCCTTTTCAAGTCTCTCACAACAAGATACCTGCCTAGTCCACAAAGACAATATTATAATGGTTACTAGGGTTTATCTTCTTCTCCCCCCCCCCCCCCCTTTTTTTAATGCTACTTTTTCATGCAGTTGTAGTTTTTTTCCGTGCTATTAATGCCTTTACAGCTACCTTGGAAAAAGAAGGGACCTTCAAAGTGTCAATAGTGGATGTAGTGCACTCTCCTTCCTTTTATTCACTCTGCAGAATGGGAAGTGCTATTACTGCTGTTAGACCCATTTTCACTCTGCATGTAGCTTTCCTTGAAATCTATTGTCTTCACCCTTCACAATTTTTTATTGCATTGCTTTCCTAAATGTATTATTTGTGCAGCTAATACATCAGGTATTGGGAAAAAAAACCCACCTTTGAGCAAAGGTAAAGGCAGAAACTTCCCTCACCTTAGCAACCTTAGATCTGTTCTCTTGCTGCTTCTTTCTTTTAAAGGCATCAAACTTTGACCTGCTGACTCAAAAATGGACAAATAGCATAAAAAACCCTGCATCTGCCTTTTTCCAGGATATTGTTCAGAGGTCACGATGTAAAACAGATAGAAAGGAGGCAAAACACGGAAGGATGTAAATGGAAAACTGTTCATCACATATTACATTTTTCATCACTGATACAGTGCTTTTGCAGCTCTTGAAGATAAAAAGAAGTCAATTAGAATGACAATGAATGTAAAAATAAGCTTTTGTAATAAAACCCATAATTTAAAATGGGATAATGTATCTGAAAATGAAAAAAGGAATCTCTTAAATCAAATGTCCTTCAGCTAAAGTTAATTTCAGTCCATGGGATTTTCAACTTTTTAGATTGCATTTTAGCAGCGGATTCATGCAAGACCACCAAAAGGAGAGCCCTGTGTTTAAATCACCTTTGTGGCTTCCAGTACAGCACTCCTGCATATCCCAGAGTACTAAACGTGGTGGGACTGAGGAATACCACATTTTCTTCTGGGTGTGCAACTGTGGTGTGTTCACAACAAATGCCCTTGCTGAAGGGAGCAGCCTGGAACATTTTGGCACTGGGATCCCTCACTCAGCAAAGGACAGGAATTGTGCATTGTGGCTAGGCACAGGGATGCTTCCACTGGCTCAGATGAGCTGGAGGAGGAACGGGACTGCATGGCCACAAACACGGTGTTCTGGCTTGTTCTCCAGACCAATACAGTAAATCAATTATACGACAATATATTCCTATCTCTGGCCCAGGAGGGTGGATGTTTGCCCAAAGATGACCCATTCTCTTAATGTACCACATCATATCCACATTAGAAGACATTTGTAGCATACGTCGCTCTGTCTGCTCTCTGTTTAAACACACTGGGGGTAAATATTAAATGTGATTTAGCACCATAACTCCCATTAGCTTTAATGGGAATCCTATGGTTTCATCCTGTGTTCCTTGATGAATATTTACCTCATTGTTCATTTCAACGCTCATTTTTATCTATTCCTACTGTGCCAACTCCTGCTTGAAGTTATAATGATATCATTTTTATTTTTAAGTGTGTGCACACATGGTTATTGGTAATGCTCATGGAAGCTTGGGACTAACAGCGTTGCTGGGCTAAAGGGATGGCTTTGCCTCGAGCAAAGGGATGGCCAGCCCATCTCCATGATACACTGCCAGCTCTCCAATGCTCCTGACAAACTGGGGATCCTTCCTCTTAAAGCACTCATCATCCACCATGATCTTTTGCTCTGAACAACCAAAAAGCTACAGCTATGCACTGGCTTGGCTAGGGACCAACCAGACTCTCACAACCAGTGCATCAGGTACTGGGAACCAGTATATCCACAGCCAGCCAGGAACCTGAGAGGTATGGGGCTATCTGCCCCAGGATTTTGGACAAGTCCTTCAACCTGGTCCTGCACTCACTACCTACAAGATGTTGTCAGGTGTCACTATGTTTGTAAAGCTACTGGAAGTCCTAGAAAGAAAAGCCTGATGTATGCAGAGAGTGCACCAGCTCATTCTACTGATGCTGCATTGAAGGAGCTTCAAAAGCAGATGTGTGAACCAATCCCTGCAGCCCAAAGCTCAAGGCACTGTCCCCTGCATGGAGCTCGCAAGGCTCTGGAAAAACACCACGTATAGCAGTGGCACAAAAGGGAATGGGATGGGAAACATCACGTTTCCCAGCAGCGTGAGCCTTGTAATACTTACTGAGTAAAATAATGATGCAGATCAAGATGGCAATGATGGCACCTGTGCCCAGCCCTGCTGCAGCCACCGCCCCAATGGTGGTGCAGTCACCGTTCTCGTCGCACGGGCACACCTTCACTTTGATGATGGACGTGTTGTACAAGGGGGGGTTTCCCGAGTCCGTCACAATGATTGGCACGTCATACACACCTGCTTCCAGGTATGTGATTCGTAAACTGAGCTGGGCGTAATCGCCTAGAGAGACCAAGACAGACAGACAGACAGACGACAGACACTGGTAGAGCCTTGCATCTGCACTTGTAGATGCAGGGCTCCTCTGCTACAGCAGTCTTCTGAGTCCTGAAGAAGAGGCTATCAACAGCACACCCGGGCAGGACAGTTTCAGACTTCTGCCCTAACAATTGGGTCAACAATCAGCCTGTGCCTTGTAAAATACTGTGTTTGCACTGCTGCACTAACCTACCTTGATGCCATTTGCAAATCTGGTTGCAAGTGTTTAAAACAGCATGAAATGCAAATAGTAAGGCATGGATGATACTCCCTGGGTCTGGGCTGCCGCTGTGGAGGGTTCCTGCTCACCCACCATCCCTCATCAGGATTTTTGGGAAGCCCATTGCCTGCTGATGACATGCTCAATCAAGCAATCCCTCTTGCGTTCCCTCCCATGGAGACACAAGGGCTGTGGGACTGAGCCCCGAGCTGTGAGGGAACAAGCCATTGCCCCTAGCCTGGCAGAAGGTGCAAGATCTCAGTGAGAGGGACCAGCTTTGAAGCCAAAAGCAGCCCGTGGCTCCCTGATATTTTCCATCCTTTGCTGAAACTACCAATAAGAGGAACAATTATGTTTACCCACTGCAATATAAAAATCCTTCACATGCTGGTAATCTTCACACTTACCTGGCCCTCCTGGTTCCATAGTAAATTAAAAGGCTGCCTTTATGCAATTATGGGCAGAGAAATGAACATTGATCCTGATTGTGGCTTATGACAATTACACTGGAGGAACATAAGGAAGACTGATAATAGCTTTTTTCCCCTTGGCCATTATGGATGATTTATACTCTGTTCGCTACTGATAACTGTTCATAATTATGAACTGCATTAAAAAAAAGCCAAGTGCCAAGGCTTTTAGAGTTATGCTGCAGGTCTGATACAAATAATTTCTGATTAACTATCTTGTCTATAATGTCAGCCATAATGTGCTTTAAAAAATAAAAATCAGATAAAAAAGTGGGAAAGTTTGGAAGTTTGAAACCGCATGTGGCCTCATTAGTGAATCAGAGTCCAAATGTCCTCAGGATTGCCTGCCCCATTTACCATTCAGCCGTGTTATGGTCCAGTTCTTCCTCACCGCAGATGGCACACTTGGCAGCTCGAAGACAAAGGGCCCGACGTTTGGATCGATGTCAGCATCCGCGGCTGTTATGTTGATGACATTCAGGTTTGGCTTTTCACAGATCTGTGCCTCTTTTGGCAGGAGCTCAGGAGCATTATCGTTGATGTCGATTAGGTAGATCTGCAGAGTGCCAGTGCCGCTTGCGGGGGGTATACCTGAGCGCGAGAGGCAGAGCCAAGCACGGACCAATGACCATCACTTGAGAAGCAGTGGGATTGACAACAGCCCTCTCTCTGCCATCCAATTTCAATAAACCAGGATTTTCACCCTCCCTCCTTGGACCTTATTAGGGACATACTGCACTTTCATGGTCCTTTGCTTTAAGAGGTGTTATTAAAAGTTCCCCAAGCCTCCTAATGTTGCTGTTTTTCACTCCTGCAGAACACTGAGGTTGAGTTCTGCAGATCTGTAGCCTACAGCAATGTCCTTGGTCAAACTCTAAAAATACAAGGAGGTGACGTCAAGTTGCTAGTGCAAATTTTGGTACTGGCTGTTTTGAAGATGAATAACCATTAGAAAGATAGCTAACAAGAGGAAGAAGAAGGCTTGGAGGGGAAAAAAGGTAAGTAGTGTAACCTGTTGGTCAGCATTTACTGTAGCGCTTGCTAGCCAGTATTTAGATTCGCAGACTATTACACTGCTGCAAACAAAGCCCATCGCACAGTTAGCCCTAGCTTCAGTGATGAAAGGTCCCTGCTCAAAGCTATGAGCTAACCATCATCATTAGCCCATGGCAGCAGCAGCATGTCCCAACATACAGTTCTTCATCCTCCCTACATTTGTCACAAACAGCAGGGATGCTGCAGCACAGCAGCCTCAGTCCTCCAGTCCCTTCCTGATGAAAAGCCACATCTGTCTGACTAACAACCACTTACACAAAGTGATACCTGCTCTGGCTAGAGAGAGCAGCCTTCCCCGCAATGCCAAAGTATTCTTTATTGACTTTGTATTTTCAGTTTTAGCTCTTCCTCCCAGTGCTGGATGGAATGCTACACAAACTACTTCCCCACTAGGCTTCCAAGTGTTACTTCTGCTGCTATAGACTTTCCCTCCTACATTCCTTTCTCGTTTCTGCTCCATTTTTCAAAGGAGCCTTGAAAACTCTGAAGGAGCCCTGAAAATTCTTCTTTCATGGTTCCGACATAAGCTCTTCAATCATTGATCTCATCCTTTCATCTAGTAAGCATGGGGTAAGTCTCCCTCTAAAACAGTGTCTTTGATCAGCCTTGAAAGTTTCTGGAGAGACAGACGGGATGTTGGGGCTGAATGTGAAAACTGACTTTTGGGACCAAGGAAAGTGGTTTCCCTGTATTCACATTGACCAGAGTATCTTCTGGGATGAACGCAAGGCTCACATTCTAACCTCTGAGATAGACTGAACGGGAACTAGCAGTCCCGAGAGGCGCTAACTGGCATGTGGCTGACATAACCTGCAACTGCTGCACATGGAAATGCAGTTTTGTAGGGTTATTTGCTATCACCGGGCTCTGGGTCCTGGCAGTTTGGTTCTTTGTGCTCCTGAGTGCAGTTCTGGGGCAGTCTTAGGAGAAATGAAATGAACTGACTCCCCTTTTCCTCCCTCCCTTTTCACTGCAGAAAAGACTTTTCTTAAAGTGAGTATCTCTGCACTGTAGCCCAGGGAGAGAAAGAAAGCATGTCCAAGAAGTACTTGGCTGAACTTCTTCTTTATCATATACTGAAAACAGCAAAAAGAACTTCTAGAAAACAAGATGCTGCTGCTTCTTCAAGAAAGGAACAAAAAGCTCCACCAAAACCCTTGAGGCAAAGCCTTTCCTTAATGAGTACATGATGCTGGAGAGCCTGGAACTTTGGAGAAATGTGGAAAGAGTCTATTAGCCTCGATGAAACTTTAGCTGTTATCCTAAGCACTCTAGACAGAATTTTAAATAAGGTATTGCTTTATGTGCATTTTAATGGCTGCAATATATGAGTGATGGATTAATTTTTCAAAATACAGAGATTTATGTATGTCCTTACTTTCTGAGCTGCTGAATGATGGATGTGGAAGTGCTGATGCATTGCAGTGTCAGCACTGAAGCCAAGGAAAGGGGTTAACTCCTAATCACATTGTACTAAGTGCCTGGGATTTGCAAGGTCAGATGGTGAGGATTAGTTTGATGGGTTCAAGTTCTACCACTGCTTTTGTGAATAGTCTTGACCAACTTATTTGATCTGTTTTGTGGGTCTTGCAGATGAATGCTGCTGGACCCCCTTGAGAATATTTTGAATTCTGCTGCCCTGGCTGCAAAGTGGAAGCTTAGGATGGGGCTAAGTCCCACCACTCATGGCACAAAGAAAGTGCAAAACTTGCTTTTTGGTGCTGCTATTGAGCATTGAGTTTGCTTTGCCCCTGTGACCCTGGATGCAACGACTGAAGTGAAGCCTGAAACCCCAGAGGGAGCAAGTTTACATTAGCCCTGCAAGCACCACCGTAACTGCTCATAATGGCACCCTTCAGCCTGAGGGATGACAAGAGCTAACACACACTGCCCTGAAAGAACCTACAGAGTATGAGCAATATACTTAGGTGCTCACAGCCAAGCCTAGACTTAATTTTGCTGCGGAAGCATGGCTGTGGTTTGATGTGAGTGCTCAGCACCTTGCAGGGGGAAGGTGAGGGTGGCAGAAGGGGAGGAAGACCCTCTTCTTGCCCAGGGAAACTACTGGGCCCTCCACAAAGCCTTTTCCAAGTGGGGGAACTGCTGAATGAAATACCAGCACAGCCACATTCTGGTATCATTAGCAAAAGAATCATCAACTCCTCCTAATCAGAATTAGGAAGAAAAATCCAGGGCAGCAGCAATGGACTGCGTGCCCTTAAGTGAGGCCAGTGCTGAGGTTCACAGTGCTAATTTGACTGAAAGCACTGTGTGACCTTAAATGAATAGCGAAGAGCAAACCTTAGTGGGACTTCTCCATGAGAAGATCTGTACTGGCCTCAGTGGCTTTGGTCCACCTGCATCCAGATGCTCTGATGGTGGTGGGACATTTCACAAATGGTGGTGGACAGAGAGAAATCAGCCTCGATGACAGACCCACAAACAGACACCTCTCATGAAAGCCACAGCAGTTCAATGGATCGTCGGCTTATTTTTAATACCCGCCTGCCATCCCCTACAATTATTTCTGATTTCCTGAAGGAAGGTTTCTGGAATGCTCTGATCAGTGCCTTTGGGATGATCAGCAGGACCAGTGTGTTCAGCAGCCCTTGGAGAGCACATCCCTTTGACATTTTTTTTAGTTCAGGCTATACTGAACTCCCCAAATCGATTTTCCATTTGTCCTCCCCTTCCCTTAATAACACTCTCTGTATACTGTGCACATTTAATTTACTCCAGCAATTTCCCGTCCCACTTTCACATTTTTGACCATAAAAACCTGGGAAAAAGATAACTTATACTGACAACTCTGTCAGGGCATCATTTCTCTTAATGCATCACATTAGAGTCTTATTGAAGCATGAACAATGTGAAGCTTGGGCTCACCGTTGTCAGCCGCCAAGAATGTGGCCTCGTAGACATTATTCTTAATGTAGTCTGACTCTCGATCAAGGACAGCAGCAGTAGTGATCTGACCATTTGTGGCATTAATGTTCAGCCAGTTTGCAGGATCTGACAGCTTAGAGTATCTACAGAGAAAGGAAATAAATACACGGCAGTCTTTTCACTGACATATCCTTAATACTGCTTGAAATAAGGTTTTTCTAGACTCCTGACCCATGATTCAAAGGACCTTTGATAACTGGTTTTGTTGACAAACAAAACGCTAATTGAGTATCTGGGTTTTGACCTCTACAATTACTTAATTTTTTTATTTCTTTCATTTTAAAGGCTTTGGTTTTTACTAAGTGCCACTTACATGGCAGCTTCCTGCTGCTGGGAGTGGACATAGCCTGAGGTCTCTGCAGCCAGGGAGAAATGGGGTCTGTGATGACCACTGCACTTGTATGCCTGAATTAGAGGATGGATTCCTGCTCTCTTGTTCTCTCAATGCTGCCTTTCCTAAAATAGCTCTTTCTCTAAAGCCTTTTGTTTTTATTCTTGTTTCCTGCCCTTCGCTAATAAATAACAGTTTGGGAAATACCACACTGGAAAAATGGCAGTTTCCAGGCCACTCTTTTCTATCAGAATCCTATCTTTAGCAGCATCTGCCTCGGGGTGACTATAATGGGAACTCCCAGCGGTATTGAGGCATGGACCCAGGCCTGCTTTCCTGAAGCATTTTCGTATGTTCCTGAAATAGCAGGTAAGGTGATCCTATGCATGTGTGAGGGTTGGAGACAGCTGCAACAAAGGGGTCCCCTCAGCAGTCCCCATCATGCCCTGGGGCTGGAAGAACCCAAGGGTAGATTCATATCCCATCGACTCAGTCAACTCACAGACCAAATCTGTTCACGTCGTGCACGGCCAGATATGAACATGGCTTGTTTTGGGCAAACTTTTTCCATGTTCTGTTTACCTTTCTCACTTGCTTGTTTTCTTGGTTTTATTTTATTCCTTACTTACTAGAACAACAGTTTGAGTGGAGCTGGACCCTTATTACCTAAACTGGAAGCTAGTAAATGGCCAGATTACTGAAATAAACAAACCAAAACTGAGCTTATTCCATGGGTAACTCAGACCTGCCGATAGTTTTCCATAAATTTTTGTAGTTGGATACACAGGCAGGAGGGAAGGCTTCTGGTGAATGCCCATTTCCAGAAATGGGCTGTTTGAAGCTGAAACTCAAAGTGAAACTTGAGCTGCATCAATCCATGGGAGCAGGAAAGCAACACACAGCTGCACGAGCCCCTGCCAAAGGAAAGAATTACATTTCATGGAGCTAGACTCTTTGGGATGTTTTCATTTCTTTTTAATATCACTGCTGTGAGTCCCCTGCCCTTTCTCTCCTACATGACCAGGCATCCAGCCTCAAAGCTGACTTTGTGAATGTGTCTGCGGCTAATGAGGATAACTTGAGGTGTGACGTTGGTCATGCCAAGCTGTGCTGTGGCTTACTGGAGATGCTTCTGCTTCCTTTTCTTCTGTTTCTAAAAACTCCATTTCATCAAAGACTGTTTAGAGACTGAAAACTGTATGCAAGGCTCTAGCAGCTGGATCAGCTCTGAGAAGTGCTTATCATGGATCTGTAGGCTTAGCTGTTTCAGTATCTTTTTCCCCTAACTCACCAATGCCAGCTGGGAAGAAAAAACAATATATCCTTTGCATAGCTCACAAAGACAGGACCCCAACAATGCCTCACTGCTTTTTGCCAAGCCTCAGCACTGGGCTGTCCCTGATAAAAAGGGGGTAAGAGGGATTGTACTTGGGTTTGGAAACAAAGTGCTGGTGGATACACAAAATGTGTGTTCTGGAAGCCTTAGGGAAAAACAACTCAAGTAATTGGCTGCTCATGTTCACAGAAAGTCTTACAGAACCCTGCACTTGCTCTGTGTGATGACAGGAACAGTTTAGCAGAGCCGGTCCTTCTCCCAGAAATGGCAGATGCTCCTTTGGATTACAGATCATCCATCTCTGGGTTAGAGGGAGTATTCAGTCAGAAATGAGCTGTCCTCTGCTCTGAAAACCAGCCTTGGTACAGACATGGGGGAAATAAAGACCCTTCAAAGGCCAATATTTCAAAAAGAATGTAAGAAGAACTGGCTTGTTAGTGAGGATGGTCTCTCTCCTCAGAAGTCACAATACCTGTCTAAAGACAAGAAGAGAAGGCAGTGAGTAAACTATCATATTCTAGACCAGACAGCTCTGTGCCAGGTGAAATATTTCAAACTCTTCCTGACACGAAATGTCACAACTGATGTAAGTTTAAGTGGCCTTGGATGCGCTCATGTTGTATACTTGGGTTCTGCCAAACATACTGCGGTCCTTACAGACAGAGTGAAAAAGAAACAAACTTCTGTGCGTGCAAAAGGAGCCAAGAGCAGGAAATGCGTTTCCCATCTGTGCGGATGGAAGCTGAAGTATCTGGAAAAGGTGTCACAAGGACTCTCATTCACACACACACTTTTACCCAGTGCAGTTCCTGGTGGGAAGGTGTATGAGCTGGGGTCCTGAACAATGGATTCAGACTCCAGTTCGCCAGGAGGGACAAAAAACCCCAAGGAGTGACAGCCTCCTGGTTGTGGCACAGACTAAATTTGGTCTTGAACTGCTCCCATCAAACATCTAACTTTTACAAGGCTAAAATTTTTCCAGCTGCATCCCATTCATAGGGAAGGCAACTACTGAAGAGGATACGTTTGGCAGCTGGTCTGAAGGGAAAGGGAAGGTGAGAACAAATCTCATTCACTGCAGAGCAGGCAAGGGCTGCTGGGGTGCTTTATTTGGACTGGCATTAGTTGGATAAAGACCAAGTGCCAATGGTGTGTGAATACGTGTTTGACTGCTCAGGCAATATTTAACTGTATGACATCTTAAAAGCCTGTTCAGCAGCTATTTGTAACCGAGCCAGCCTTGCTCTGAATGGGCTGACAGCTCCTCTGTACTATGCTTTTTAAGCCAGGCAGAACCTAAATCCTCCGGAAGCAACACAAGACATGATTAAAAATCCCAGTAATTCCCTTTGGAAATCTAGCTCTCAGCCCCTTCTGTGCCTCAGTTCCACCCCCCTGTAAAAAGAAAATAACAAAGCTGTCTTTTTCTACACCTCTGTGTTTATAAAGTGCATAAACAACATGGGTCAAAGCATTCTTGACAAGGTAGAATCAAAACATTTAGTAGAATGCAGCCCTGACCTCTGTGGCTCTGTAACCACGCAGAGACCCCTTGCTACTGACTGCTTGCACTTGAAGCTGCCAACTGCCCCTCTGCAGGCCAGTAATGTGGGGTCCAACTCTGCCTGCCCTCCTGCACCCAGCCACTCTGGCTTACCTGGAGCAGGGCGGATGGCGAGTTCACAAGCCTGCAGGATACTCTGCAGGCACTCGACTGAGGGTGCCAATCCCTGCCAAGCATTTTACTCATCTCACATCAGTTTGTGAATTAGCTTCCAGCTGCTTTGCTCTCCAAAGGTCTGCAGCTGCAATCCCCCACCTGTACATGAACTCATTGGCTGCCCGGTCTCGCACCTTACTGCCTGCTGCATGAAGCGATCAGGATCCACTGCTGAAAACGTTGTCAGGACCGTCCCTGTAGGCACCCCCTCCTCCAGCCTGATCAGCTTGTGGTTCGTTGGGAAATACGGTGCTTCGTTGACATCTGTGACTGAAATGGTGACTCCTGCGGTCGACTGGAAGGACATCTGGATGCCACTGGCCAGGGGAGCTTGGTTTGATACCATCACTGTCAGCATGAAAGCTCTGTTCATCTCGTAATCGACTGCCTAAAACAAACAAACAAGCAAGCATAGAGCCAGGCACAGAATACATTCTACTGTCTGGCTGAAAGCTGCAAGATTTAGAAGGCAGATGATATCAAAGTCACTGCCCCAACTTGTTCCCTCCTGTGAGCTCAGTTTGTTTGAAGGTGTAAACCCATACCAGCTTCAATCCAGTGGAGGATTTGGCCTTCTAGTATTTGGGTCAAATAGTTAAAAAGCCCCACAAAATAAAAATTGCAAACAGCAGGGAGGATTTGCCCTCTGTTTTGTTCCAGTGCTAAGTGGTTTCCAAAAAAGAACAGTGTTAGCTGAGCAGTGAATAAACAAATCCACCAAGTGCTGCTCTAATTGCAACAGGTGGAGCCCATTAAGAGGGACTGGACAGGTACTTAACAATGCTATTAGCATTTAAAGCTGCTGACTAAGTAACTGTGTTAGTCTATGAGGACTCATGAGCTTGAAGTGCTCTTCATTCTTCCTCTTAAGTGAGTTTATAAGCAAAGGTGGAGCTGCAGTGAAGAAGGCCTGGTCTGGTTTAATCAGGCCATCCTTCCACTGAGACCTCTTGTCCTCTTGCAAGACACCTTGTGATCTCCTGAGGCTGCCTGCACGCTCCTACAGATGCGATTTGCTGTTGGGTGGCCACGGGTCTCTTCTCAACAGAAACGTACAGACGGTGTGTCTCAGGAGCCAGAGGGAGTGCAAAGCCTTTGCTGGCACAACTGACTGAACCACAGTATAATAATAATTTCTAAACCATCCCACTAATTACTATGAGGGAAGTCACTAATCATCTGCCAGGGAGGCTTGAGTTATGCAGGATCACACCTCCGCTTGTTAAAAAATGCTTTGCAGTGATTTATAAACGTAGAAGTGTAACCATTCTCCTTAATCCTTTCTCCAGTGCTGAGTCTGCAAAGTGGACTCTTCCTGGTGTAAAATACCACAGTCACATTGATTTCAGTAGAGCTGTACTGATTTACATCAGCAAGATCTGCCTTCTGTGCTCTGTTTAAACCCCAGTATTGTCAGGAGAGAAATCAAATCATAGGAGGCTACATGGGAGAAACAAATTTCAGGGGCAAAAGGTAAAACATTGGAATCTCTATTCGATTGGAGTGCAAATGTTCCTATTGCTAAATGGTTTCCTGACAGGCAGGGCCAACATTTAATAAATAAAAGGAAGCATAAAGATTCCCAGTACACCCACCAGCACTGACTCACAGACTTGTCCTGCATTCAAACAAGACGCATGGTAAAGGATCCCATTTAAACCTTATTCAAGGCTTTGAAACCACTTGACTAATGCATTTCCTCAATTTCTTTTCACAACCCTGTAATTTATATTTCTCTAGTCTTATTTATCTATTTCTTTTTGTGCTGGCCTGTTTGCTAACCTTGCTGGCACATGGTGGCGGTGCCCACAGCATTTCAGTCTGCAAGAGAGAGACCATCTGCCTCTTCTTCCATGTCCGAGTCCCCTTTCACATACTTTGTTGTCAAAAATACAAGGTAAAATCAAGAGTTGGTGCCTTCACGGCAGTGTCTGTGCTATTGTCCCTAGTGGGACAGAAGCCCCTTGCAGCCAGACACAGTCCAGCCCTAAGCAAAACTTCTTTTGCACCATTTTAAGCAATTTCTACCACAACAGTTCATACTTCTGCTCCCTAAAACTGCCTCCCTAATGGCGCACAGAGCACTCTCTGCTCTTCACACTGCATTAACCCTTACATTTTAATGCATCTCACTGAAAATGCTACATATTCATCAGTCCATGGTTTTAGGGACATGGTTTAGTGGTGGACTTGGCAGTGCTGGGTTAACAGTTAGACTTGATCTTCTTCTAACCTAAATGATTCTATGATTCTATGACAGCAGGATCCTAAAAAACCCCATAGAGCCACCACACAACATGAAATTAAAAAGTAGCACCTTTGCAGATACCCCTTGATGGATGTTCAGCATCTGATCTGGCCCAACTGCTCTGAAACATCCCCTTGGAGATGCTGCACATCCTCCTCTTTCAATAGCGCCTCTGACCTGGCTGCAGCAGAGTGAAGCCAGGTGTCCTCCTTTTCTCAAGGTATTTTTAACTAAAGTGAACAAATTTTTTTTATGTTATTGTTGAGGCAAATAATAACTGAAGCCTCGGAAGTATCTCCATTAGAAATTCAGAGCTCTGATGCATGCAGAGTTTATAATACCATTTTACTTAGCGGGCTGCCACAGGGCAGCCACTGCTGCTCTGGGAGATTGTCTTCAGACTCTGCGGTGTCTCATCTGAGTGGGAAGTTTCTCTCTCCCCTTGATCGAGGCTTTCTTTGAAGATCAGGTTCTTGCACAGTTATGAAAATGGTTTGGAAAGGCATGAACAGAAGAAGGAAATATTACACTTTTGGTGACTGACGGGAGCTGGGGTTTTGCCAAGGGTGGATACAAAAATGCCCTGCCTGCCAAGGGCATCATCTGAACTCCAAGAGGCTTCTTGGTTTGGAAACATTTTTGGCCCTTCATTTCTGACCCCGAAACTACTGGTGAAGGGGTGGGATTCTTCACAAAACATCCTTCTCTGCACTTTTCTGTGACTGCCATAGCTCAGATGCAAACCCCTTTGCTTGTAGGAGTGGGGAGTTACAATGAGCAGCTTCAAAGAGCCACATAAAAAACCACCCATGTAAGGTCTGTAAATAAAAGGTTCATTACCTGACTTAATTTTTTACCTGGGTTTTCAATCTACATCAGTGATCAAACCAGCAAGAGACTGCTCCAACACCACGAAGAACACGCTCTGATCAGCCACCCACTCTGATGTGCATACGTTCCCCAAATCTTTAAGCATGTTCACTTATTAACAGAGAACAAAATATTTCAAAGAAGAAGGTGGAATCCTAAGAGTCTTCCCTTCTTCACCATGAAAATTTAATCACAAGCAATTTCACTCATTCTCCTTGCTGAAAATACACTAGAAAGCCTCCTGGGTTGATAAGGGTAGGAAACTCGGGGTGCTCAGGAGGATCAGGTGAGGATATAAAGTGAAGACATTTAATGCAATTTCAAGCTTTGAGCTCAGCTTGACAATGGTGGATTTTCCTGTGGTTCTCTGCATTGTGATCACGGTGGGTTACACAGCAGTGGAAAGGCAACACCAGCATCAGTGGTGTCTTGGCAAATCCTTCCTGCTTTTTCCCTGCAAGTTCTGAATAAGGGATGGCTCAGTATGCAGAAGTCCTTGTGTAGTAGTGATGATCATGTAAATCCCCTGTTGTTCATTCTGATCTGCCTTTAAACTACAGTCCTGACACTTTACTAGATTAAGGGGCCCTCCCTTGCTCCCAGTGAAAACATTGCACTTCAATTTCAGACTGGCTGCTGCTGTTTCTGGAAGTTAAATTCTTGCATTTTACTTTGTTGAATGTTTTCTGTTTAAGCAATATATATATATATATGGATATGTGTACAATTACATGCACATATGCATCCATACACATGGGTGTCCAGGACCACTGCTAAGCTTGAAGAGGTTTTGTAACCTTGCACCAGGTAAGGCTGTCAACTATCATTTCAAAGCAATAAAGAGTGGCAAATAAAAGGACCCTGATGAAATACCATCTAGCAGGTAGATGATGTTTCCCTTAAAGTTTCAGCAAAGTGGCATCTGCAGACACACACACATAGCTCGGGGGTCAGAGAGCAGGACAAGCTCACACGTTCCTACCAGCATAACCTCACTGGCATTTCACTGATGTCATTTTTCCTAATACCCAAGCTATGTGTATTAAGAATGACTGCCAGTTATTAGCTACAAGGGAGCAGGGCTCTTTTTTTTGCACCACAGAGCTGTTTTTAAATCACATTGCTCTTTAAACATTAGTGTTTCATCCTATGTTGTTGATTAGAACTTTCTGTTAGAGAAGGCCAGACTTATCACACGATGCAGGCTTTCCATGTTTTCCAGATGCAGTTCACAGTGCATGTCGTGCGAGCTCTTAAAGACCCCAGCAGCCTATTTGTGGTGCCTCTGTTTTTTTTGGTAGTCAGAGGGAGCATCCACAGCCATCTTATCCGGGAAGAGATTCAGTGAACTCTGGTTCTGGTTATGTTCTGGCTGTGTGTAGTGACTGCAAAAACATTCACTGCCTGGGTTGCTGGCCTCAGTAACTGAAAGGGAAGAGAATGCTCAGATAAGGATAAAGTCATGTTCTTTGGAGGCAAGGAGGGAAACAGAATTTGATACTTGCTGCAGGTATCTTGAGGGCTCAAGCTCTCCTAATGCTGAAAGCAATAGATGGAGGAAAGAAGGGATGATGGATATTTAACAGTCTTATTTCACAGTCTTTCAACAAGATCCTCTGCTGATCTAGGGAATGGATTTCACTTGTGAGGAGCTATTCTGAGCTGAGGATATGCCCCACACTGTGTGTTTATCACTTCATACTAGGAAAATTTCTCCAAGTTTTTTCTGCCAAGCAACTCAGTTGGAGGAAAATCTCTCCTTTCTTTCTGTTGCCAGGAAATGCATTCCTCCGAAAATCTCTCCTGCACTGCCTGCTTTCTCAGAGGATCACTTGACTGATCCCCTGCTGTGAAACACTACCCCCTGATTCACAGCTAATGGGGAGTTTTCTGGCCCAAGAAGGAGAAGGTGCAGCCTCTGCCCTAACCTCACCAGGCAGGGCAGGGCAAGCACAGACCAGGAGCCATTCCCCCTTGCAGTGCTCAAAAAACTAAGGAGGAGCGGGACACGGAGGTTGGGCTCAGAGGCTGGGAAGAGCCTTCAGCTTCATGAAAGCTTAGGGTGAGAGCTGGGCTGAGTTGGGAAACGCAGAACCAGCAGCATATGGTTGAAGTAAAAGTATTCAGGACTCCTGCATGGGCAGAGATGGAAAACAACAGATTTGAGTGCTTGCATTTCCAGGGTAGAGAAGCCATGAAATAACTGCAGGCTTCTGGCAATTCCTGTAGCCATAGCTAGCCTAGAGAAATCCAGACAAATCTGGATTTCCTTTGTTGTCCCCCTTACCTTCACAACGGTTACCATGCCTTCGTTGGTGACTGGGTCTGTCCGGATAGTGAAATGGCCCGAGGGGTCTCCGCTGATGATGCGGTAGATGGCATTCCAGTTGGGGGAGTGAGGCTGGTCCCGGTCCATCACTGTCAGATTTGCCACCACCACCTCCACTCTGTTCTCAGGAACTTCTCCTGAATACTGCAAACAAAAGACAGGAGCTGTCATGATGGGAGCTTTCCTCACAGTTACCTCTCCTCTCCTCTCCATCAGCACGCTGACTGGGAAATCAGTCTCATGAAGAGGACCAACGGGGTCCACACACCCCTTTCTCACATCAGGTTTTCCTATTTTTTCCAAACCATTCAAAGCCTAGTTTCACCTCTCCACCCCATGGAGGAAAAACCTCTATCACCAAACCATTGCCCAAGATTGGGTAAATGCTTGAAAGAAATGAACAAAAAATGCTTTTGTTGTTCAGTTCCAGTAATCAGACAGTTAATTGTCAACAGCATCTAAAAATGGCAGACTAAAATGTGCATTTTTAAGGATGACTATGTCCCTTTAACCTGAGGTATTTTGCCTCACTCAGATTTCATTGATGGCATTTTGTTGCTTTTCAGTGATTTTACTTAATTTTCTTTCTTTCTTGCCCTTGATTTGATTTTGTCTCATTATTTGAAGTGTTTCTTGGGATTTTGCCACAGCCTTTCCTGGTGCTTAATTCTCTCATTTAGCACTGATTTTCATGGAGCATGTCCCACTCAGGCATATCCTGATGCATTAGCTGCATTCTCCTGCTTTCCAGCCCTTGATTTATCATGCGGCTGATCAGGGATCCTGGCCTGTGAATACTTCCAGTGTTTGGGGCTGCCAGTAAGACACATTCCCAGATTTTCAACTGTCCTCATCTCTCAGCATCGCCTATTAGCAGCACTTGTGAATGAACATTCTGATTGACATATGGCAAATTAAACACTGGGTAAATGATGGGAGCGGCTGGCTCTGAGTCTGCAGCTGAAATCCTTGCCCCAAACTGCAGGAGCAGAGCACTACTGGAAACCTGGCCTTTGGTGTGCACAAATGCCAGGTTATGTAAATGATAATAAATCATTCCTTTGTTAGCACAAGACTCCCTTTCCACTCGTACCACATACCCATCCACTGGAGTCTTTCAGTTATTTGTGCTTATATTTAGTATATATTATTCTACCACTGACAGCAAAAATATTCAATCTGCCTCATGTTAATGGAAATTTAAATTTGCCCTTTAGTGGTATCCTGAGTGGCATTTTGCCCTCTCTTCTGTTATGCACCTGTCCTAAACAAGTTTTCATTAGTGAATGCAGATGGCATCTTTCTCCAGCCATGCTGAGTGGTGGGCAAGAACAGTGGGAAGCTGCAGGATAATTCTAATTCCAGTACACACTACAGCTCTTCTTCTCTCTTTATTTGCCATGATTTCACTCATTTTTTACCCATTTTCTTGCTCAATTTGGAATCTCTGTGGCACACAGCTAGAGCAGGGGAAATATCATATGGAAATTCATCAAAAGCCTCTTGAAAAATCCATTAGATTATGTCATATGTGCACTCCTATTACCAATCTTGTCTGAAACCTGCTACAAAGAACTGAAGGAGATTAGTTAAGCAGGATTGTCTCTTGCTAAATCCCCACTAGTTATTGCCATTACATTAAATTAATGTCATATGGCATGCCAGGGTTGACAAGCTGATGAGCCCCTGTCTCTTTTAGGAAGTGGCTGCACTACTAACATCAAGCTATTGTACTGTAATTTCAAAGGTGTTAAGTGCTGTGTGCTGTTGTCTCAAATCCTTTGGCCTAGGACCACATTTCTTTGTCCATTACTACTAACGTATGCCTTGCAGAACCAAACAGAATTAACTCATCAAGAGAAAGCTACCAGTTGTATTTAAGACACTGAATAGAGCCAGTCCTACAGGCTGCTGAACACCATCAGCAGGTCACAACCTAAGACAGTTTACATTTTTAAAATATAAGGTATATCAAAAATTATAATACACAAGCACATCTCAATATAAAGCCTGGATAAAGATCCCAACAGCATATAGAGCTTTTTTATCAGTGTGAAACCCACAGTGCTTCCCATATCCTGAGCAATCCAGGATGCCTATTAGGCATAGTTAGGGAATGGTCAGTCCTATGCAGCACTGAGGGTGGATACTGTCTATTAATTACGCTTCTAAAGACAAATGTTTTTCTGATGAGAACAGATTACCTTCACTGGAATCAAAGGAGCTATCCAAAACTCTTCAGGTTAAAAAGATCTTGGTGAGATACACCATGAAGAACAATTTTCATCACCTATTGGGAATCCAAACTGGAGCCTGCCTTTTCTCCCTCTAACATTCCCCCACTATCATTCTTATAAGTAAATGCTGTAATGTGTGTTGTCCACAATTGTCTTTACCTTTAATAAAAATTAACTAATGACATTAAATTACACCTACTAAAGGAAGGATGGCAGCTCAAAGCTACCCACACTTCTTTAATGTCATTCCTTCCCTGCCCAGGAGTAATTTAGTATAATGAACAATGGCATCTTTCACTATTTCACTCCCTGTGCTGTAAGCTCTCTTTCATAAGATTACAACTGATTTTGAAATAAAGAGAAGCATACCTATCTAAACAAGGTAAAACAATGGGCAATGGAGGAGCTGCTGGAGTAAACATAAGATTGATAAAGCAGTGCTTGACCTACACCTGTAGCATTTACTCATATTCCCCTGTATTTCACTTAGCTTCACTTTCAGTTGTTGCATTTGAAGACTTTAATTTCCAGAGTGCCTTTTTAAAGACGATTCAGAGGGATTTCTACAGCTGATCATTACACACTTCACCTCCCTTCTCAGACAAGGATTTGTTCTAAACCTGGCATGTTCCTAAATCCTTAAATTCCATAGGGTCTTTTTCTTTCCCCTCTGTCATGGTTTAAGCCCAGCTGGTAACTCAGAACCATGCAGCCGCACACTCATTTCCCCTTTCTTTCCCCCCCGCTCCAGGAGAGATGGGGAGGAGAATCAAAAGAATGTAAATCCCATGGGTTAAGATAAAAACAGTCCAGTAACTAAGGTATAACACAAACCACTGCTGCTGCCACCAATAATAATAATGATAAGGGAAATAACAAGCGGAGAGAATATAAAAGGGGAAAAGGCAAAGAAAACAATAAAATCAAGTGATGCACAATACAATTGCTCACCACCCACTGACTGATCCCCAGCCTGACCTGAGCAGAGATCTGGGCCTTCTGGGTACCTCCCCCCCAGTTTCTATACCTGCTGTGGTATGGAATACCCCTTTGGTTAGTTTGGGTCAGGGGTCCTGTCTCTGCTCCCTCCCAGCTTTTCATGCCCCTCCTCACTGGCAGAGCACGAGACTGAAAAGTCCTTGATCGGAGTAAGCATTGCTTAGCAACAACTAAAAACATCGGTGTGTTATCAGCGTTGTTCTCATACTAAAGTTGAAACCAGAGCACTGCACCAGCTACTAAGAGGATAAAAATGACTGCTACAGCTGAACCCAAGACACCCTCCCATAAAAGCCTGTGCTGGCATATGTCCTTCTCTCGTTCCTCTGCAGCTGGCCTTTCTGAAGTCATGTCTTGCTGGAAAGGTAATAATTCATTCTGACTTTCGGGTTGAATCAGATTACACTAAAATTGGTTAAGCCCAGAGTTTTCTTTCATCTCACTTGGTACCTGACAGCATATAAACATGCAGACAAATATCACTCTGGAGGAGAAAGGGATTGATGTAGGGGACAAATGATGAATTGACACAATGGCTTGACTTTGTGCAATAAATCTGAAGTCTGAGCGATGAAGCCATGCACAGCAGAGTAAAACCAATTAGCTCACTGCACCCACTCCTAGGGAGGTGTGGCATGGAAATGGATGAATACAAAGATAATTATCCAGGCTTTCTTCTAAAGGGAATTCCTTTTTTTCCAATGTTCTTGCTTTATTTTCTAGCTGGTTTTGCTAAAAAGCTGTGAAAGCACAGACTTCATCACATAAACATCTGCAGGAAAGATTTTTGTGTTGTCTCCAACATTTGCTAATGATGACACAACATTTGTTACAGGCAGAAGTGGTTTATGAAGGCTGAATTGCCTAGAGAAATAGTGTTTTATGACCTATAGATATGGATTAATGCAAAAGAATAAGGGCATCTCAGTCCTCTTATTAGACTCTGAGCCCTTACCCTGACAGCTACAACTGCTGTAAAGTGCTGCATCTTCTCTCTAGGTCCCCTAAGTTGAAAGAAACTGAAATGAGAGCACTCGTGAGCAAGTGGCGTGAGGTGTCCCATCTCCAACTGCTTTCTGCGGCCAGGACACCCTGTTATGCAGCAAGTTCTGGATATGAGGTGAGGTGCAGCCAGGAAAACCAGCAAACACTGGGAGCAGGCACAAGTATGCTTAAGGGCATACTCCTGCTATCTAAGTGCTGGCATGCGAGCCAACTGCTTACCTTTTCTGCATGATATTTAACAAAGACACTTGAATAGCAGGGAAATTAATAAACAACTGCAGTCTGGTTGCTGCAATCTGTGTAAAATGGGAAAAAAAAAAGATTAAAATCTCCTAATAAATCATTAATTGTGATGGGCCTGCCTAGCCGCAGCGCGGAAACAGGCAAATGCCATCCTAATTGATTGCTTCTTATTCCATCTTTATAGGCCTGCATTTTTTATTGTGAGGGCTGAATAAGCCCAGAGGTGTAAAAAACCTCTAGATTGTACTCTGTGTATCTGCCAAGTTGATATTTAGATCAATAATCCTCCTCCCCCCAAATCCCCCCTACTCCTACTACTTGTAATTTAGCTTTTCTTCCTAGCAGCCTAATTGCTGTTTTCTTAAGCCTTACTATCAATTCTCTGACCTTTAATTTCCAATATCATTTGCTGTACAGACGACTGTGCTAGGATGCAAGTTATCCTACCCCTCTACACTGTATGGGTCAGACTTGGCCATCAGCTTCTGTGGCAGTCAAATAGTGACCTCCAGGTTCTCTCTTCACCATTGTCATTGTGCAGTAGAGACCACAAGCTCACTTGAATCTCCCCAAGATCTGTATAAAGTCAACCTATTTGCCAAATCAGATTTGAGATGCTCACTTGTTTATCACATTTTATTAAAGAAATACTCACTCATT